GATATGGTAAGTCTAAAATTTTATATTTAGTTGGATCTATATTTTCAAACATGTATTAATGGGCTTATGTTAAAAATTGAAGAAAATATATAGAGATTTCTACCATGACATATAATTTTAAATAAAATATTCTGATTGGTTAATTTAAATGAAGTGTTCATTGAATTGTTCTTTGAGCGACACATATGATTTTATTTTTAGTGTCTTCTCAATTAATATATAGAGGATGTACAAGTATTTTTGGTTTTGATATGTAATTAGTGATAACTTGTGTTCATGATGATTTGTCCACCCAAACGTGTGTGTATATATATATAGACATTAAAATGACTAATAATATATGTGTGAGCGTAATGGATGAGCGTATGTGTAGATAGTCTCATACTTCAATTAGCAAAACATTGAATCATATACAAAAAATCTTTATCCTAACTCAATATACAATGAAAATATCATAAAACATGACCATCAATTTTGTGGATGGATTATCGTGGATAGCTTGTCGATTTGTGACCACAAAACCATGATTTATATTGAGATCTATCCATCTTCATCACAACTAGACTTGCTTGAAAAATAGTATAGATCAGTTTCTTTGAAGTCGTAGCTTCCAGGTGATCTTTGCAGTCTAGGAGATAGTATCCACTACAAACAGTCCACGGAATGTAGTCCACAACCATACAATATCCATGTGAATGATTCATTCTCTACACCCTCATAGCTCCCTCTACACAAATCTTCTCCGACCAACTTCGCTTCTCCACCGTTATCGATCTTCTCCGATCCAGTTCGAGGACTATTCTCTTTCGGATCTGGAAAAACATATTCATTCGCTTTAGGCCCACCGGTTTCCGGAATCGCTAACCGATTCCCGTCTATGCTCATTCTTCTCAACGATTTCATCTAGATCTGGAGAATTCTCGATTTTCGTGTCAAACTCGTTTAAGCTTCTCTCTTTCTCTAATTCCAATTTCTTCACCTTCGATTGCAACGATGATGCAAATCTCTTGAATCAAAAGATCTATAGTCAAAAGATATGTTGTAAACACATCAATTTACCCAGAAATTCAACCTAGAAATTTGCCCATAAATTTTTGTGTTTGAAATATTGTGTTTGAAAGAAGAAGATAAAGAGTAACTTTTTTTAGTATTATTGTTTTTTGACAAGAAATCGATCAGAAATAAAGAAGAAGAGAGATGTATTAGATAGAGGACAGAAAGTCATTACCTTACAAAAAGTCAAGAAAGTGTGCTTAGTTTTTAAAGTGTCCGTGGTGAAATAAATATGTAAGAAAGTGTGTCTTAGTATAATTGTCTCTTCAAAAGTGAGATCCACGCGCCTGAAATTTTCTCTCCCGAGGCGACAAGAGAAGCTCTCATCCGTCATTCATCTCTAAGGTCTTCTGACCGTTGGCGCTTGCCGCCGCTGTCATGAGAGGGCCTCCATGGCTCGTTTTATGCCCTAATTCTTATCATGAGGATC